GAACTGCAGCCCCGGGGATCGGGGGCGCGGGGGAGGTCAGGGCGGGATTGCTGCGAGGTGCGGGGTGTGTCAACATCTTCTCGAGAAACGGGGTTCGTGCAGGTTTCACCCGCCTCTTCTCCCAGGAAATTAGCAGCAGGACAACAGGACATGGTCTCAAGCAGCACCAGGGGATGTTAAATCAGACATCAGGAGGAATTTCCTCACGGAAAAGGGGATTACATATTGGAATGGGCAGCCCAGGGTGGTTGATGGTGGTCCCTGGAGGTGCTCAAGATATGACTGGATGTGGCACTCAGTGTCATGGTGTATTTGAAAAAGTGATTACTTGATCTTGGAGGTCTTCTCCAGCCTAAATGATTTTGTGACTGGGGGATCTGAGATCAAAGAGGGGAATTAGGGAGCTGGGAATGGATGCTGGAGTCAGGGCTGAAGTTGGGGAGCTGAAAGTAGTGACTGAAACTGGAAGGTTGGAATTGGGGGTGTTGGATTTGGGCTAAAATTGAGCAGCTGAAATCAGGGTGATGGAGTCAGGAGAACCAAGGACAAGGACTAAAACTGGGGGCCCCACAGAAGCTGGTTGCCCATCCCCTCTCCCCCCTGCCACCCCTTCTGTCCCCATATCATGCTCTCAGGACAAGATCTCCACATGCCTTTATTGCAGCAGGAACCGTGGGTACCCACACCCCACCCACACCACCCGCCCAGGACCGTGCAGGGGGCACTCAGCAGCCAAGCCCCCATCCCAGGTCCCCTGTCCCCAGCTGTGCTGGAGGGGGATGAGCAGCAGCAGGTGACAGTGCCCGATGTCCTCTCCTTGGCAGCATCCCGGCTTCAGGGGCTGGGACATCTCCCAGGTGGGTGTCCTGGCAGGGTGAGGGTGACCCCACGGCCCCTGCTCACAGCCACTGCAGGGAGAAGCCCTGGCTGAGGCTCATGCCAAGGTCACTCACTGTGAGAACCTGTAAGGGGAGAGGAGACATTTTGGGAGACAGCCTTGACAGGAGGGAAGTGGAGAATGCTTCCCCCTAAACCCTGGCGCAGCAGGAGAGCCACACCAAGTCCTCACCCCCTCTTTGGTCACATTGTGACCCTGGAGGAGGAAGGGTGGAGACCCTCAGGATGAGGACCCCCACCCAGAAAAGGGCACTCGGAAATGGGACCATACCTGGTTGTCCAGGTAAGAAAAGGTCTTCTCCTGGCCATTCAGGAGGACCTTGCTGGGCGGCTTCTGCACTCCAAAGATGCTCAGCGTGTCAATGGTGACCTTGGTGGCCTCGGTGCTAGCATGGAGGACGGTGGAGGTGAAAATGTTCTGTAGGAAGGGACAGCATGAGCTCAAGGTGACCAGATACCATGGGACGCCCCACTCCTGCCCTCCCCACCACATCCCACCTGTGTGACATTGAACACCACATAGGAGTAATTGCCCTTCTCAAAGGTGTCCAGGCTCTCGCCATCATCCCAGAAAAGGTCACCCCAGGCAGTGCCATGCGAGGACAAGGCCACGATGAGACGCAGGGGGTTCCCTCGGGTCACCTCTGTGGTGGTTCCTGGTTTCTGGGGTTCAAAGACATGGGTTCTGTAGGACCACGACCACTGGGGATTGGGGTCCAGGAGTTGAGGCACTGCGGGACACACACACTGTGGACAGCACCCAGGGAGGTGATGGGTGGGCACTCACCTGGGTGGGCAGGATGGAACCTTCCCGGATGTGCAGGTTGAGGTGCTCCAGAGGGGCTGACATCTTCAACGTCTCCCCACTGCTGTTCACCGAGGAGCCCTGGGCAGGTGGCGAGAAACATGGGTGTGAGGCAGCAGGGCTCAGGCACGGGAGCAGCCATCCCCAAACCTCCCTCCCTTAGGGCTCACTGGCCTCAGCCAGGGCTTCCCACCCACAGCCCCGAGAGGGTCAAGCAGGGATCACCCAGCCCTTGGCCAAATGCTGTGATGCTCCTCACCGTGTAGAAGTCATACCACGTGCCTTGGGGGACGTAACCTGTGACTGAGTCCACCCCAGGCTCCAGCACTGGTGTTACCAGCAGGCTCCGGCCCCACAGGAACTGCCTGTCCAGCTGCCACGTGGCCACATCCCAAGGGAATCTGCAGTGGGATGGAGACGCCGCTCGATGGAGCGCATCTCCATGATTCAGCCCAAGCATGTCCCCAGCTCCCGCTGGTCGTGGCCTTACTCAAAGAACAAGGGCCGGGCGACAGTGTCCCCTTGCAGGTGGGCACGGTGGAAAAGGGTGTAGAGGAAGGGCAGGAGGGAATAGCGGGTCAGCAGCACGTCCTTCATGGCTGTCCTGGCTGCGGGGCTGAACGCTGTTGGGTCCTGGGCCTGGGGGAGACGTGGGCAGTCAGTAGCTGTCCCACCCCCAACCCCACCTCCTGCATCCCCCATTCCACATCCCAAATCCTGCATCCCACCCTTAGGATGCCTCCCACTGGGCACACTGCCCTTGACCTTCTCGTTCTGGGTGTTGTGGTTGCGAGCAAAGGGGTAGAAGGCACCGAGCTGCATCCAGCGGGTGCACAGCTCCTCCGAGGTGCTGCCGGAGAAGCCGCAGATGTCTGCCCCGACCAGTGGGATGCCAAAGAGGCTGAAGCTCAGCAGTCCTGAGAGCAGGGACAGTCAATAAGACACAGCTTCAGAGACATCTCCAAACAAGCAGAAAGCTCTAGGAGTGCTGGCAGGGGCTCTGTGCCACCCACCTGGAATTGAGTAATACATGTCCTTCCACTGGCTCCGGTTGTCACCCAGCCAGTGCCCCGAGTACCGGGCCTGGCTGGGGAAGGTGGAGCGGGAGATGACAAAGGGACGCTTCCCCCGGATCTTGATCAAGGCGCTGGAAAACAACAGGAGAGGTGGGGGAAGAAGTTAAGGGCCGCCCACCAGGTGTTTTCCTTATCCCACAACAGTTGAGGGAAAATTCCACCCCCTGGCAGAAGGGTGGAGAGTCAGTCTGAGCAGTATGGCAAAAGCTTCCAGCAGGATCAGTCTCATTCACCCATTCCTCCCAGAACAGCACTGATTCCAGTCTTCCCCCAGGTTATTTCCATCCCACAGGCTATGAGCAGTCAGAGGTTCTCCCCCTCAGATCACACTCAAATCCCCATCCGTTTCCTACTCAGCTCTGAGAAGGATTTTGTCCCAACCATCCCCAGGCTGTGAGGAAGCAGGATGCTCAGGTACCTTGCTGTGGCTTTGGCTTCCATCAGCCCATAGAGGTTGTGGAGGTTGTAGTGCACCGAGACTTTCTGCTTTGCCGAGGCACACACCGTCTTTGCAGAGAGGGAATCGCCCAGCACGGCTGCCAGGAGGGAGAGCCCAGTTGGACCCGGTGGTGATGAGGTGCAGGGGATAAGGACTCCTCACACTCACTGGCTCTGGGTCAGCCCTCCCACAGCCAGCTGGCACTGCCAACCCAGCACAAAAAGCTCACGCAGATGGCCCCATCCTGCACCTAGGGATGCTAGGTTAGGGCATCCCTAACATGGCCCTAACAAGTGTGCTTGGCTTAGATATGGATACTGGCACATGAAGGTAGGGATGGAGGAATTCAGGTAAAAGAGACACAATGTCTCTTAGAAATGGTTTTCCTCTAACCCCACTCAGCTGGCAGCAATTTGAAAGTGCACAACCTACCTGAGACGTATCTCATCTCCCTGCTTACCTGGAGTGTAGGGTGGGCTGTCGAACTCTCCTGGGGGGCAGCCATCTTCAGACCCATCCATGAAGTTGGATGGCTCATTCATGTCCTAAGCCAAGAAAATTGTGCAGCAATTTCAGCTGTGTGGTTTTTTTTTGATTAGTGGTAGACCTGGAAAAGCTGCATTTGAGGAAGAGTCCTGCCAGGACACACACTGGGCATGAGCTGAGCTGCTGGCAGGGATCAAGCCTTGGGCAAGGAAGGACTTACGATCCAGAGGCCGTCAAAGGGCACGTGGGCATAGAAGTGCTGCAGGTTCTCCAGCCACCACTGGTGTGTGTCTGGGTTGGAGAAGTCTGCGAAGGCAGTGAAACCAGGCCAGACCTGTGGGGACACCACAATTCCATGGGTTCAGTAAGCAGGTGATTTGTGGGGAGCCACCATGGGGAACAGAGTACCACAGAACACCAAGGATTTCAACTGGGGGTGAAACAGGCAATGAGATAAAGATAAACCCAGACAATGCTTCAAGTCCTGGGTGCTACACACACACAGCATCACTCCCACCTCCATGGTACCGGGAGTACCGGGTGCTGAGGAGTCCCCACAGTCCGTGGGCAGTGGCAGCTGATGGAGCAGCTTCTCTGCCCCCACTTGCACACGGCCTGATACCACCTCACAAGGAGTATGTCAGGGAAAAGCCATAACTTCTCTGTGCTTTGCCTCATTCCAAGAGTTTTAGCCGATTCGTTTTCCCCCATATTTTCAGGCTACATTAAAAGCTCTCTCCTTGGAGACGGCAAGAGAGAGCAGGTGGGAGAAAACAGCCAGAGGGGTCACAGTGGGAGGGAACAGCTGCAGAGCAGGTCTGGAGGCACACTGTCCATCACAGACAACCTCCCCTCACCCCAGAAACAGGAAGGGAGGGAAATCAGATGATCAGCCTTAGGCAGCACTGCTGACTCTGTTAAGCTCATATGACTTCCACAGGCTCCTCTGCTGAACTCCCAGCACTGGTGAAGACACCAGGAGGTGACAGATGAGGAGGACAAGGGCTGAGCTAGGCTCTGGCAATTATCCTAGAGAAGTTCCTTGGCCACTTGGCTTTCCCTCTATTGTGATGAAATTCCAAGCCTGGTATTGCACAACCCACTGGGCTGGGATTTCCCCTGGAGCTTCTCACCTGTCCGATGAGTGGCTGCCCTTGTGTGGTGTTGAGGAACAAGCCCCGTCTCAAACCTTCATCATAAGGCCAGTAGGAGCCATGAGGGCTGGTGCTGCTGATGCCAGGATCCTGGGGATGGAGCAGGGGGTTAGTGCCATTCCAGACAGACCACAGCTCCTACCCCGGCCAGACCGGTGTGATTCACAGAAGAGAATCCAGACAGGGTCAGCCAGAGCCCACACAGAGTGGCTGTTTCCCCCCAAGGGGAAGAGAAACTTGCCTCAACATTTCCAGGCATGTTTTCTAAAACGCCACTTCTGCAAGTCCCCAGGAC